ATCTCAAAAACCCTTTCGGGCTCCGCCCCAGTGGCTCTGTAGTTCCCCATGTTAATCTTATGATTTTTCAAATTTAAAAGGAATTAATGAATCTTAACAGCTGTTTCAATTAAACAAGTTGGTTCTGTTCTATGATGTTCAATATAGCATAAAAGTTACAAGGATTACCAACAGGGTGCAGCACTATTAATTTTTTTTTTTAATTTATGACAACAGCTAATTTCCAACCAAAAGGTGAGTGAGCGTAGCGAACGAACTTCAACCTGGAGGCGAGTTAGCGTAGCGAACGAGCTAACCTGAAGGCAAGTGAGCGCAGCGAACGAGCTCCAACCTAAAGGTGAGCGTAGCGAACGAACTTCAACCAGGACGTGAATGAGCTATGCGAATACTTATGAAGCTAAACGGGGCGAAGCCCGCGGGTACAGCTAGTTCATTATATTTTCTAGCTAGTGAATATATAAGGATAAGACTTTATAGCACAATTTCTAGAGACACATTTTCCTACAGACGTGAACTGTCATTCGGCCATGGTCACTGTTTCTTGCAATCTGAGCTTCATGGTTATCTATTTAGAGGTTATATTTGCCGTTTACACATGCTTGTTTAACCTTGTACAATCAGTATATCAAACAGCTGATTTCTGCCTCGAATCTACCTTTAGTCTCCTTAGGACTAGGAGACATCAAAACAAACTATTTTATTATCTTGGGAGTTTGTTTGTTGAGAGTAAAATACTATTGATGCAGAAAGAATAAGTAATTCTGAATTTTGGTTGCTGGGGCGAATGAAATTATATCAGTCAAGTTATATCATAGACAAATAGAATTAACTGGGCACACTGCTGGGAGCGCCATGTGCGCTACGTAACTACACGGCACTCCTAGCGGTGTGTGCCAGAACCTATGATAATCGCAGCACGGCTGACGGTCTATTAGTTAATTCTATTTGTCTATACAACGATACAATGATTTTATTCGGCCAATCAACAATGGTCTATGGTTATACAGTATATATGTATAGGTAATAAACTAAAATGAGGAATGGATTAACAAATGAATGGACTATTTTTGTTTGAAATCTATATATTTAAACAAATTTGTTAGATTTTTGTATTCAGCAATTTGACCCCTAATATTTATTTTTATAGGCGTATTGGGTATAAATTTAAGGCTCTTGTCCTCTAGATGTGCCTTTTGTGGGTTTTGGATGATATCCCGTGAAAGCCCTATTGGCCTTAAAGCAATAAAGCCCTATAGGCTTTTAAAATTTCAGAGTTTGTACCGAATTCTGTTGTCAATCATCTGAACTTTTCCAAGTTTGCATTTGTTTACATAAAAACAGATGACCATAATACAATTTTGTTTACATGCATGTGAAAATGGGGTTATCGTTACTAGTTGGTGATGTTTTAGTGAATTCAAGTAAAATATTGTAATGTTAATTATTTGTATGTAATGTAAAGAAGAAAATTACGTTAGATTTTGTGTTATATAGGATTTGCAATGGAAAATTGTAAATTAATTCAAATATATCACACATTTTAAAGTCACAAAGTGACACTGGCTGCTGGTATGTATACTGATAATATTTTTTAACAAATGAACAAAATCAAATTTTTTGTTTGATTTTACTTTTAAAGTGGTAATTATATTTTATAAAAACAAAGATCTTAGTCAGTAAATAAAAAAGCTCACCTCATTCATTCAACGCTCAAATTCACCCCGGTGTACTATGATCCTAAATATTGAATCCAATCTATATTTTTGAGAAATATAACAAAGCAAATGTTTCAGGGCATTACTTGAAATAACGTATTTATTAAGTAATTTTGTATTTTATAAACCGTAATAATACATCTGTATAATATAATACAGTTAATATAATAATATTGATAAAACTAATGTAACATCACACATAGTACGCATGTATTTTAACATTTTAAACCTATAATAATATAAAAATACCCCCGTCACAGCAAACCTGCATACTAAGCGAATTTCCATTCACCAGGCTCGATTTATACTAAAATATTCCCTATAAATTTTCAGATTTATTTCCTATTTAAATAACATTAATTTTAGTGAGTAGTTAGGTTTGCTGCTACGGGAAAGATGTTGAGGTGTGTTTTTTCAATTGAAATATTGATATCTTAGTATGAAATAAGCCAAATTGCCAAATTTAATTGAAATATATCCATAAACAAGCAAACTAGAACAGTTTATTTAATCTCCATAAGAATAACATGGGAATTTTAAATTTACAATTTCTTTAATTTTCTCCGTAGTCAATGAACATTCAAAAAAACTTCAATATACTAAATTATTTGTTTTTTTAAGCTCTTCAAAATGGTCTAGAGAGAAATTTAGAAATTTAAAGTTTTTAGGGTCAAAAATGAGAAAAACCCATTTTTACCCCATAAAACCCCCCATAAAACCCTGATCCCATGGTCCGATTATGCTGGTTTGCGAACTCGTTAAAATAAATGTAGGTTTACACGTTTGTACCAAATTTCATCAAAATCGGATCAATTTTGCTCGAGTTATCGCGCTAACGGACACATATATAAATAAATATATATATATATATATATACTAGCTGACCCGGCGAACTTCGTATCGCCTAAGTTATAGGTTTCCCCTAAGACAGACCGATGGAAAGTACCGTTACGTTTAATTTTCAAGATGATCTCGTTCGCATCGCTCAATCACGTCCTGGTTGAAGTTCGTTCGCTACGCTCACTCACCTTTGGGTTGGAGCTCGTTCACTACGCTCACTCACCTTTAGGTTGGAGCTCGTTCGCTGCGCTCACTTGCCTTCAGGTTAGCTCGTTCGCTACGCTAACTTGCCTCCAGGTTGAAGTTCGTTCGCTACGCTCACTCACCTTTGGGTTGGAGCACGTTCGCTACGCTCACTCACCTTTAGGTTGGAGCTCGTTCGCTGCGCTCACATGCCTTCAGGTTAGCTCGTTCGCTACGCTAACTCGCCTCCAGGTTGAAGTTCGTTCGCTACGCTCACTCACCTTTTGGTTGCAAATTAGCTGTTGTCATAAATGTAAAAGAAATAATAGTGCTGCACCCTGTTGGTAATCCTTGTAACTTTAATGCTATTGAACATCATAGAACAGAACCAACTTTTAATTGAAACAGCTGTTAAGATTCATTAATTCCATTTCTCATAAGGTTAACATGGGAAACTCCAGAGCCACTGGGGCGGAGCCCTTTTAAGAATTTCGAAACGGGAAATAGTTTACGTCCGATTCGCATACCTACAGAATTTACACACCAAATTTCATAACGATCGGTGAAGTCGTTCCGGAGGAGTTTGCAGACAAACACTGTGACACGAGAATTTTATATATTTGATATAAATATATATATATATATATATACTACCAGAGTACCCGTCCTTCGTACGGGGTTGGTATATAAGTTGGTAAAAGACGGTATACTAATGGTATTACACATGTACCATAGCCATAATGTTCTACCACTTCACCCTAACAACAAAGAAAAATAAATTATTACGAATTCACAAAAAATCACAAATTATTAATGACATTAAAAACAAAAACATAACTGTAAAAAATCCTACTTTGACAGTTCTCATTGCGTACCACAGTTTTTTGTTGCTGCTTAGTTCAAATTAGCTGTTACATAAATGCAAAAAAATATAGTGCTGCATCCTGTTGGTAAATCTTATACCTTTTTAATGCTTTTGCATATCATAGAACGAACTTTTTAGTTGAAACAGCTGACAAAATTCTTTAATTCCCTTTAGATATGAATACTCATAAGGTTAACATGGAGAACTACAGAGCCACTGGGGTGGAGCCCGAAATGATTTTTGAGATAAGAATATGCCTATATGTTAATCGAGAATGTGAGCTATCATCATGCTAAATTTCAGCCCAATCCGTCCAGTGGTTTATGCGTGATTGACCTTCAAACAAACAAACAAACAAACAAACAAACACACAAACTTTCACATTTATAATATTAGTAAGATATGAATTTGAACGGATGGTGTTTTGGGCCTCTGGGGACCTCAAAACGAAAAAGTAAATCGGTCCCGGGTCTAGGTCTTACCATGAGACCTACGGTAATAGCTTATTCCCTATATGGGAAATTCGCTAACAACTGCATTTGGAAATTTAAAATGTTTGATACGTATGAAAATTACCGTATTAAAATGTTATAGCCTGCAAACGTTAAAATGTTCCGCAGTAAGGTTTAACTACATATAATTTTTTTTTTCAGGTCAAAATTGTGTCCAAACTTTTTACATCAAAATGTTATAAATATTCAAAATTACACTTTTCATAAACATATTTTACTGGTTAGCTTGCACAATTCAATCAAAATGTTTCTTTTATCAAGGGAAATCAAAACCAGCGCTTCCGGGCTGATATTGACTCGCTTTGTTGCTTACCCTTTTGTATACACTTGCACAGCCTGATAACTTTCCCGGGTGACACTTCCTCATCCTTTACACATCAAAGGAACACTGAGGAATTTATAAATACCTTAGTTATTTATATCATACTATTACGGTTCAAGAAGTTTGAATAAGTGTTCATCAACATTCATCAATTATGGATTGAGAAAAGGCATCCCTTATTTAGTGGTCTCCATGATGGTAATTCTAATTATTTTGACATTTTTGTTTTATTCAACCGTGTATAATGATCATACCTAAAAAAAAAAAAAAAATAGAAAATCTTGTACACTTTGAAATGGTGTATTGAGCTTTTAACACTATCAGTAGTCTTCTACTGTATGAATGAAGCCACTGTTCACATCTATTATCACTTTATAGCTCACTTCTGTAATCCATTTTAACTAATTTATCATGGTCTTCAGGGTAGAATCGTTTGTTACTGGTATGGCTGAGGCTGACGTTTCGGTATCGCAGGCAGTAATTAACTGAACCCTACACATTTTTATTTCATGACTACACAAAAAAATATTTGTAACCTAATCCATCCTCTGGGTTTTCTTCAGATCATCGCGTCTCCCAATGTCAACACTGTGTTTTCACCGTACGGACTGATGTCGATGGCTCTGCTGGTATATGAAGGAACTAGAGGACAAGCGGCCGCAGAAATATACAACACTCTCCACCTTCCGTGGCACAGGGACATCGTGCGCATCGGCTTCCGAGACCTTCATAGGTATCTCAGGGTAGGACTTCTCTCAATTATTGAACATTCCTGCTAGTTTAAATGGTGTAATTGATCAGTTAGTCAAATAAACCAAGATAGTGATAATGATGTATATTAGCACTCAGGTCCTATAGTATCATCATATTGAAGGATTTAAAGCCATTCAACATCTGTAAAAGCAAGGTGTACTAATCAACATTATTTTCACTCTGTAAAATTTTGGCAGAGATATTAGTTCTTTAAACGATCATCATTATTTGCTATCCATGAATTTACACAAGAGACTGTTCTTGAAAATAAACTACTGCAGTGTATTAATATTAATAACCTCGATGCATCTACTTGACTAATTAAACCATTTACTACCAATAATAAACCATTTTATTAATAATAATAATTCAGTGTGAAATATGATGAAAAACTGTAAAATATTATCCATTATAGTGTTGTAAATGGTGTTAAGGAGTAAATTTTATATATAATTAATTTTTAAATTACTTAACTCAGCATTTGTGTGTATTTTTCAGAGCTATTTCTCCAGCGAAGGCTTCCTCAAAGGTTTGGTTTTGAGCAAACCAAATGTTACTCTAAGAAACAGTTATATTAAAGTTTTAAAATTTTATGGTTTTCAATCGGACACCTCAATAACACAACCAGTTTTCACTACTCAAGCGTCTGTTGGAAATAGAGAGAAGAGTAATGAAACAGTGACAAACATTCCTGAAACAACTGCACCAGACCTAACAACACCAGTGACAACTATGATACCCAAAACAACAAAACCAGAAGAAAATGAAACTATAGTTCCAACAACATTGGCTTCAACCACGGAAATCCTTATGGGGACTGGGAAACCACCAACTCAGCCAGATATTCTATCAATGAGAGGTCCTGAAGATGAGAAAACAACCGTACCTGCAACTACAATTCCTACAACCGTTGTGACCACTACAAGAGAAACAACTGAAGCCAAACCAGAAGAATCACCAGCAACCACTCTACAACCAACAAAAGAAGCGGCCACAATAACTACCATAAAGGAAGAATCAACAACAAAAGATGCACAAACAAGTTTTGATGATGTTCCTTCTACAACAGCATCAGACAAAGAAACATCAGCGACTCAAGAGACTGAAACAGAATCCTCAATGCCAGAGGTGAATGTTGTAACAATGATAAATGTACCTGCATCCGAACTGGAGAGTATGAATATGATGATGGATACAGCTAACGACACTGATCCATCAGACGGAAGTTCAGATAGTCCTGAAACTGAAACTGAAAAAGATGGAGGAAAAACAACGATATCAGACTTTGTTACGATCTCAAATGAGATTTCAACAAAGGAGATTTTCACTGAGGTTACAAAAACCGAGACCGTTACTTTGTTTGTAGATACAACACTTCCGATAGAAGAGGTAACCCTTTTGACTACTCCAGTTTCGGAAGTTTTTACAGACAAGAACACACCGATGCTTGAAGCTGTTATTTTAATGGAAGAAAGTGCACCTGACTTGCAAAAAATACAGTTTACAACGGATAGTACCTTGAATAAGCGAGCAACAGATTCAAATCCTGTACTCAACGATTTGCCAAAACCGAATATTACGACAAATTTAAACACTATGTATTCAATATTGCACAAGAATAGTACAACTGAGTCAAAAAATCAATATAATGTAGAGAATCAATCCTGGAGCATAATGGACAATAAAGACCAAATGATGGTGGAATCTATTTTAAGTAATTTGATTGATAGCGATGTGAATGGTAGCTATCACAATTTGGAAAACAACGGTACAGAAACGTTGACTGATTCGAATGATGTAGAATCTAGTGATGACAACGCTGATGAAGTGGTCGGTTTTCCAACTTTAGAACCTGACACAATCATTTTCCCCTCCGTTACCCAGTCAAGACCACGACGATCTGTGCAATGTAAGTAGACCACAAGTAGACTAACATGTTAGTTTTACACTTTGGGTAGCTGTCAAATTGAAAATTTAAAAATCAAGTCTGGTATGGTATGTATTTTAAATACCCTAAATTTACCAAAAGCTTTATGCGCACACTGACTTCCATTAAGGGTAAATTAAATTGCTTTTACAGTCCACTACACATACATCTTTTATTTTTATTCCTTACATATTATCCCCTTCCCCCCTTGTTTATTCCAAATTAAGATGGTATTTGGTCTAAACAGAAAGTTTTACAGTATTCTTAAATGGTTTCCTGTCCAGACTTGTTTCAGTTCGATATCTTCCTCCCTTCAACGCCCATTTCATAAAGCTCACAAAAGCAACATTACACAATAAATTGGTTTGCATTACAACAACAAAGACTTACATTTATTATTTCATAAAGCGTACAAAAAGCGTAAAAAATAGAATATTTCATAAAACTGGCTGGGTAGCCGAGTGGTTAATGCTCGCCTAACAATCAAAAGGTTACCGGTTCGATCCTGAGAAAAGTCTGTACCTTCACTCATATTTGGATTGAAATACATAACTAAAGGGTCAGGCCTGCGATTATTATGTGATGTGCTATGGGCCTGAGAGGTAGTTGCACCTCCCCCCCCACCCAAATTGATATGAATCATAAAATGAATGACAGTTTAGATTATAGGTACCTGTTAAAGGTATTATAACCATATTTTATATATTTTACAGCAGCCCAATCTGTGAGTAGCGCAATTAAATAAAGCTGTCTTTTAGCAAATATCCCATACAATGAATAAGCTATTATTGTAGGTCTCATGGTAAGACCTATTGATTTACTTTTTCTTTGATGTCTCCAGAGCCCACAAACACCATCCGTTCAAGTTCATATAATATGTGTGTCTGTTAATTGTGTTGAAAGTTTGTATATTCAAGAAATATCAATAATTCATATCAAGCGCTCCCTGTTGGTGACTTGATGTAACTATGCCCATTTTCATCTTGAAATTTGAACCTACAAAATTATAATTGAATGGGTTGTCTACTTCTACCAAAAGTCACAGCCTAAACTTAGCAATATTTTCTTACATTCACCCTGTTTACAGATGATAATCCTCAGTCGGCCAGTTTGGGTAACTGGGTGGGTTCTTCAGGCTGGTACCCGAGCCCTACAGATCAATGGTTCTGGACATTTACTGGTGACAAGCTAGTACCTGTGTTAACCTACACTGCCTTCATGCCTTACGTTGACTTGCCTGCCTTGAGAGCGACGGCTCTACAACTACCACTGGACGTAAGTCACTTCATAGTTAACAGAATTTTTTACCGAACATGTGAAAATGCATTAGACACAAGGAACAATACAATGCATTAAGTTCCACGATCAATGTGGCACATCATGATAAAAAAATACAGTTAGAAAATATAGGCTTAGTACGTAGATGATTTATAATATTTTACGGATTATTGCAGACATTTTCTAGCATGGTTAGTAAAAGTTTTGGGATATAGGAATGTGATCTGGTCCTCATATGAGAATGTACCTAAAACATAAATTGATTAGAACCATTGAATATGTATAGTCAATGTTAGAACACAACCAAACCAACATTTTTGCTGTGCTGCTTAAAGGTGGCAAATTTCTTTTGTTATTACAAACCTAAAGTTCTGTACACATAGCGTAAATGTTGCTAAGAGTGTTCTACCTCTACTAAAAAGTTACCCTTCTGATATAGTCAAAAAAGAAGAAAGAGTTTTAATATTTAAGTAGTCTTAGGTTGATATTTGACACCTATTCTGCAGGATGTGCGTTACTCGCTAGTAATACTTCTGCCGAAACAAGCAAGAGGACTGAAGCAGCTGCTGTATTCTCTGCAGTGGTGTCCGCTGCGGAGTATTATGAAGCAGTTCAAACAGACCCCCGTGTACGCTGTGGTGCCTACCTTTACAATAGTGAAACATATAAACTTGACACCGGCACTTCATAAGGTGAGGATTAACACTCGTATAAAGTAAGTTTTATTAACATTTCATCAAGGTGGATAATCTGTCGTTCTAATGATAAAATAAATTGTCTGGGATTTATAGCACAACTAACTAATCTAAAGTTAGGAGTTCTAGGTAATTGAAGCAGGGCCGTTGGTGCAAGAGGTTTTAGTTTTAGGTTTGCTGGGGACGCAAGGAAGAAAAAACATTCCACAAAAGGAAGGTGGAGGGAGGGTGCAATTATCATCTCTCTTCCCATAGCAAGGTCACGTTCAAACTTTTGGCCTGGTTGATGTCTTACAAAAAATGTACAACACAATCTTGATGTTTATTTATTCCTTTAAGGGTCTTTTTTATAAGGTAGTAGAATGAAAAAATATACTAGAATAATGGAATATAATGTAAGTTAGTTGGCTAAGTTCAACCACCAAGATGTGGTAGAAACATGTTTTTTTACATATTACTTCTATTTTTAAAATTGACTTTCATATAAATATGTAAACATTTTCCAGCTAGGTGTGCGGAAGATTTTCGATGGTTTTATGGCCAATTTATGTGAGATGTCTGATGAGCCAAACCTTTACGTCCGGAGTGTGGAGCAAGTGATCACCATTTCTGTGCAGAAATATTTCACAAACCAGAACTGTAAGTATGTTTGGTGAGTGTATTAGCTTTGAATATTGATAGAACTACAGGCAGTTTTTTTTTTTTTTTTTTTTTTTTTTTTTTTTTTATCAAACTGGAGTTCAAGTGAGCTATCAACAGATTGAGCTAATTTTAATTACTGATTTATGTTGTATTACTTTTTAAACATGTAAAACTGATATATAGCATCTTTTACACAACATCAAATATCTAAATATCTCAGTGTCATTAAATGAGGTGAAAAATATATATTTTAACACTAGTACAATCTGTGACTGGCTTGTTATGGTCCTTTTTAGTAAAAAATTATGACAGCTGATCCATATCGCTAGGATGTCTACTTCAGTATTCAAAAGTCAGTGGTAGTTTCATATTTCATTCAGATCACAGAGTCATATATTGTATACCGCCTTAGGCTCGTGTGAAAGCCCGCAACTTGGAGGGCCCTTGATGCAAAATACAAAACATTTTTTTAAGTCTGTTAGTTTTACATCAATTATGTCAATGATGCAGAAAAATGGAGTATAGATACTATAAATTTATAAATTGAGATTTTTTCCAGTTCTTATTTTGAGATAGGTATTAGTATGGTTTTTAAGGGGCCCCACTCTGAATTTTTGCGCTGGTCCACTTACCACCCAAAGCCAGCTCTGATCACATAACTCCTTCTCATGCTTAGTTAAACTATAATTTACTGTATTATAATTTTACTTTCTAAAATAAAGTGTACCAAGTTCCAACCACATTTCTTGAGACAGTTTGCTGTAAGTACGTGGGTATAGGCCAGAAAGATGGCCCTGAGAACCATGATACCATAACAGTTCCCGCTGTCAAGGTCAAGGCACCAATTTCCGTTGCTGAGGATCCTTGATATTTCACTCTGTCACTCTCGCTCGTGATGTTTCCGCAGAGCAAAGAGTAGCAAATTTTTCATGGATACCTCTTTCACACAAAAAGTGTTTTACTTTTGACCATTGATTGAATCAAACATTCAATTCCCTCGTTTAAGTTATAGAATTGACTATTGGAGACTGAAGTTGACATCCCTTCTATATGGACCAGTTGTTGCCAATTTTTTACTGAAAAGAACGTAGTTGTGCATACAATTCTATTTTATACCTTATCTTTTATTGCTGGTCAGCAGTTGATGGGTCATAACAGTTGCTATAGCTCACCATAGGTCATTCAGTTAGTTTTACTTGGTAAAAAAGTGTATTTAACAAAATTTAGTAATTTAGATCAGCGCAACCTGTCGGTGGCTCACATCAACTACAACAATTTTGATTGAAATTCGGGACGACAAATTAAAAATGGGGATGCAATTTCTAGTTTTATCAATCAATAGTGAAAGGTTATAGCCCACTCCAAAGTGAAAATGAACTTAATTGAGTTAAGCCTTCAATAAAATGTGCTGCTGGTAATTATTTATTTATGTCGTATACACCAACTTTTAAACCTAGTTCTAAGAGGTGAACTTAATTTTAACTATAGCACCCCTTACATCGTCATCTATTGTAGTATCAATGGATTCAGAAAATTCAATTCTTACAGTAGATCACTCTGTGAGATGGCTCATTCAACTCTATTCTATTTTGATGGCTACAGCTAGTCCTTATAGATATGGGATGTCTACACTGCTATCTAAAATGTAGTACTATAAAAGTAAGATTTGACACTTTCTAAAACCATTGGCTTTGGCTAAGGCAAGTAGACTTGTAAAATCCTATTGTAAAATCTTAAGACTATTTTGATAGTTTTTGTATTTGTCAATAATTATAACCTCAACAGCCCAACACCACCATCTAACGATAGCAAAAAAAGTGAGCAAATCCTGGTTGACTACAGAGATAATATAGTGAGGGAAAACCTGTTTGGTCCCGCAATGTCTGGTATTAGCTCACTGCTACCATTGAGGGGCGTTACTATGGATGTGTCCAACAAAATCCTTTTGCTGTATCATAATCTGGATTTTAATGTTCATAAAATAAGGGAAACTCGTAAAATATTGTCTAAATCACTAAAAAATCCAATGCATTGGGTGTAAAATCAGCTAGCGTTTTTTAATTACTCAACTGTTGTAAGAAATGTCTTAAGTTACATGTTAGAAGCAATAATCTCAGTGTAGATCAGCTGTGCAGCACATTAGCCGCTGTTGTTTCACATGGTTGGTCATGTGAGACAGACCAAAGCCAAGGTTGTGGGAACTTCGCAGTCATTGACTCCTCCAATCATAACTTGGCAGTCTTTGTGTCAGACACAGAATAATTACCTGACATCAATACTGAATTCTTGGACGAACTTGTCCGGGGTAGAATTATCTTGAAGCGAGCGATTGTCCTGGCTGATTTACATGTTGATAAGTTTCTTGCCATACTTAATTGCTTTGACATTTTTGTGACCATCACATACCATTGTTGGAACTGTCCTTTTACCCTAAAAAGACAGTTTCAACAATCGTATGTGACTTTTTCAGCCATCAAATGGGAACAACATCAACATTTGCAACATAACCCTGTTTTCCACTTTAGTGCTCGTCACAGACACTTGAACTGTCATTTTGACTCATTACTCATTGCAAACATCTTATATTCATGCTATAAATAAAATAAAATAAATCTTTCGACCCTTTCATACTTGGTGTATTTACACTTACATTGAAGATTATTATTTCCACACCTAAAAGAATAGATTGCAATGATAAGTCCCACTGGTCCTAATCAAGCCCTACCTGCCCATATCTGTTTATTTTATTTAATTTTTTCTTTACTAGTATAATAGTATCAAAATCTGTAATTTGTATTTTTGTTATGTATATACTCTATAAAATACTTCCTCAATGCTGTATACCTTAGTGAATGGTATAATTGTAGCACAAAAATGACAACCACAACAACATAATAATTTATTTTATATCATTAAGTTTTTTTTTATTGACTTTAAAGTCCGAATTGAATAGTTTGGATTTAAGTGGAGTTGTTTTGTACAAATCTGTTCCATATTAAATATATATAAATAATAAATATGTAGATGGTCAAATTAATACTATAATAAAAATGGTATGGTCAAATTAATATTATATTGTAAACATTTAATTATACTTCATTGAAATAAAACCTAATAAAACTTTCAAAGAAATAGGACATTTTCTAATTATAAATACTAACTAGTGGCTTGTAGGGACATAAGTCCCTTAAAAGCTCAAATGTAAAACAACTTTTTGCAATACCGGTATTTAAACAAACTCAGAATAACATTATCTATGTGTCAGAATAGGCATCCCTACACCATATCTTTTGTGTAAAAACCAGTTTGTTGTTCTTCTTTGTTTGCTTTTGTTGATGTCATTTTCAATAAATAATTTGAATCACTCCTGTGGTTTAACATGAAAAGGCAGCAAACATATCATTGTTTGTGAAAAAAAAAACTGGTTTACTAAGGTAGCTTTGGTCTTGTGGTTAATGAGGATAAATAAAAGCTTCCCTGTTTGGAATTTTAAAAATTCATTGGAGGTTCGCCTTCAGATGAATTGAAGACGCCTGCAATTTTATCTGCAGTAGGCTTATTATACGTACGACGATCCATATTTATCCTGTCTACAAACCTAAGTTCTAATTCACTGTCACCTTGTACAACCATTTCTTCCGAAGCTCTTTAGTAAATTTGTGCAAATGGATTTTCTAATAGAATTTCAGCTAGTTTTGACAATATTTCAGGTTTTAAGTCACTATTTTCTCGGCGCCTTTGACGAATTTCTGTTGCTGTTGATGTGTCAATAATGTACAATTGGCCATACACGGGGTCTTCATCATGTTGAGGCAGCAAATCTGAGATTGAACGATAAATCTGTCCTTGAATTTTGAAACAGTATGGTCCTTTTCCTGGAATATCTTTCTTACTGGCTGAAAAATAAGCAAAAGCCATCGCACTGTTGCATTGTCGAATGAATTTATACAGTTGTGGGCTCTCTTCAAACAAACTTTTAAGTTCTACATTAGTTTTTGACTGAGGAAGGTTAATAAGTCCGTTATGGCAACATGTCATAAAATGATTATTCGTTAGTTCTTCTCTAAAATGAAGAGCACTACATTGGATGCACTCTTGGTCCAGTAATCCTGCATCATGGATCTTTACATTTCTCTCGTCTACCATGGGTCTCCTATAAAGGGGTTGTAACATATCTTGATTATAAGTTCGTCATTATCTACTCTTGCTCTCCTACGCGCACTGTCATTCCTATGAACAGTTCCCCGCCTTTGTGGTATTCCCCTGGCGTTCATATTAATTACAGTACTTATAATGAAAAGAATATAACTTACTGCAGCAGCCTACATACCAAAACATCTTGAATCCCTGGTGATTTTATAAAAGTATGATCGAATATGATTACTCTACGTTGTATATTCACTGCACTAAAAAAATTTACTTACGAAGGAATGCAAATACACCATTTTAGAACCAATAACATTTATAGGTTATTTTAGTTGTATATATTTACACAACCTTAACCTTAAAATGTGTAGAAATATAAAGAAAACAACATCATTTAAAATAAACTTAAACATATGATTTAAAAATAAAAACAAAACAGAAGTTAGATTTAATTTCGACTCTTTGATTATTTATACATAATATTTATTCTATGTCGTTTATTCCTTTAACACGACAATAACGTAAAAGCATGAAAAAATGAAACTTGAGTATATGATTTAAATATAAACAAAGAATGCAGACGTTTTTCCGACTAATCTTCCATATTTCAGTTTTATTATAGTATACATTTCATAGTTGACTGGCTAAAAGTAAACCAAATGCGTGTATTGATCACTGTTTTCAAATCTGTGGCACAGCTGTTTTAATTTCAAAAGATGTAAACAAATTAAACCCCATGTTGTTTTAATGGGAAAAGTTTTATTCTGTTGCGAATTTATGGTAAAAAAATAAGAAAAATGAACAGTTTTCCCTCAAAATTCACGTCAAGACCTTTAAAATAAGACCCCTCCCATCCTTCTACGGCCATCCAGTCACTCACAATTTCTTTACAAAAATTTGACTTACGGAATTATATATATAGATTAGCTGTAACACACGGGCTTCACCCCGTTTGACATCATAACTATTAATAAAACTATTGATTGGTTAAGTTAACCTGAAATAAACAAAATACAGTGAAAGAAACAAATAATCACACCTGATTTTAATAAGGTAATAAATTGAAAGAATAACAAACAAATAAGTACAGCTGAAGTATTTTTAACATTAGGTGTATGAAAAGTTCCCTTTAGAAAGGAATTACGACCTTAAAGGGCAATTAGTGAAATAATGGATAATTTTGCGCAAGGTTTCTCGTCATGACGAACATTTTAAGTATATGGTTTATAGGGGTGTGACTTGTAGTTTTCTCAAAAGTTCATGGGTACTTTTGGCTTTGTATATAGATTTTATCTATAGCAGAAACGAATGCAAACAATTAGCAGTTTTAACAGTTTCTCATCCCCCAAGATATCGTATTGTTTGTTTATTGTTGTTCAATTTTTGAATTTTATAATAATGATTTTTTAATGTTGAAAAATGAGTTAAACCTTTTTAATAATGTAATATTTTACAACTTTTAGCAATTGGAGCCTCTCCGGTTCAAGTGGAACAGCATTTCCTAGCCACGCATCCTTTCGTCTACTTTGTTGTGGATTTGGAGACCAAAGTGGCTTTGGTCGCTGGAACTGTAGTGGATCCAACCGATCGAAACTCCTAGAAACTCCAACGTCATCCCCTCCAACACTTATCCAAGATCTCAAAGTACCTCCTCTTGTTGTTACTGGTTATATTTTTAATATTTATTTATGATGGATCAGTATTAAATATTTTGCTGTTAATATGAGTTTTCTTATTGCTTTGATCTCTCAAGACCTGCATGATTTTGGCATGTTTCAATAGATTGTAAACTACTGGCAATACTGGTATGAATATGGACCCTGCAGTTAGGCCGCAACAACAACATAATTCCCTCTAGAAAATTATGTGGTAAATAGTATATGATGAGGCTCAATTTTGATTATTAAGAAATTAATAATCATCTTTATAACTGATTTCTTGAACTAGCCAATAACCAATACCTAGTTATTTTGTAAAATGTATGAAGGCATCTACCACACAGTTAATCATTTAAAAATAAAAATACTTTTTAAAAATGCCACGTTTTTAAACACACTAAAAGTATAAAATAATTTATAAATATGTTGAGAGAATAAATACTTGTAAGATTTAAAACAAAAAACTTGGAGCGCGCATGCTAATTTACAATTAACTTCACCTATTGAACTATTATGATCTATTGCATGCACAATAGATCATAATCATCATTTTAAATCTTACAAGTATAGTAGCTCTTAACCTCTGCTCTTCTAACTGTCAAATTTAAGTATTTACAGCTGACTTAAATTGATATATTTACATTCTTTCAAAATGTAAACATGGAAAATTTGGAAGCCCATGAGGCGTAGCCCAAGGGAAATATAAAAATTAAATGATATAATATTGCATTGTCATCCATTTGTGAGCTATGTTTCAAGTTTCAAGTCTCTAGCTCATCAAGAAATTAGTAAAAAATTGATTGCAAAATTTGTACCGGACAAGAAAGCGAGCTAATAAAAACGTTCCAAAAACTAAGAAAAATACACCCATTTGCTAAGTAGGATAAGAAAATCTAATCTAATCAGAAAAGAAAGTTAAAAATATGAGTAAAATATTAATAATAAGTAGACCTATGTGGTAAGAATTAATCTTTCAAAAGAACAGAGCATAGAGCATTTGAATGCACCACTGTCAACTTGTGCTTAGGAAGAAATATTTTTCTGACATCTTGAAACTAACTAGGACTAAAAATACCCCCACTGTAGCAAACCTGCCGACTAAGCGAATTTCCATTTGCCTGGATTCATTTTCAATTAATCGATTAAATTAACATTTATGTTTAACGAGTACCTAGGTTAGCTGCTACAGGGAAACTAATAAAGTGTGTTTTTTATTAAGATATCAATAGTTTAGTATGAAATAAATAAATCCGCCAAGTTTGATCAAAATATATCCATAAACAAGCCAACTACAACATTTTATAATATTCTCCATAAGGATAACATGGGAAATTTAAATTAAAATTTTTTACCTAACCCGCCATGTTAAAACTTTCCTACCCCAAGCGTGATGTATATAACTTCGTTACTTCTCGAGTGATGTAAAGTTGAAAAAAACTCACTCGGTGATGTAATGAAACCCATTTAAATAACATTGAGTGCTTAACTTAAAAAATATACCTCTATGGAGCCAACGACGTTCAACGCTAGAAATCAGCTGTGCGCTTGAATTTTATTGTTATGTTTTGAAGAATTTTCCTAACCTAGCTTTTGTTTGTAAATGAACGTTACTGTTAGAAGATGAGTGAAATGGATAATGAAAAATATTGTTCGTAACCTCCTGTATATTGTCGGGTCAGGTAAAATCTTGTACGTTACACGTTACGCAAGAGCGTGTTTACATCACTTCGATAAATTATGCAACTCGCTTCCGCTCGTTGCACAACATTCACCTGCGTGATGTAAAAACGCTCTTACTACACTTGTAAGGTAAATAGCTATTAAATTTTCTCCGTAACCATTCATCGTACAAAAACACTTTTTTTAAGTTCTTTAAAAAGGTCCGTAAAAATATTGATAAATTTTGTGTTTTAAGGGTAAAGAATTTGAAAAACCCATTTTTACCCCATAAAACCCTCCGTTAAACCCCGTTACCATGGTCCGATCATGCTGTTTCGCGAACTCATTCAAGTTTATCCTGCCTTACACCTTCAAACAAAATTTTATCAAAATCGGACAAATATTACTCAAGTTATCGTCCAGGCGGACACACACATATATATACACTAGCTGTACCCGCGGGCTTCGCCCCGTTTAACTTCATAAGTATTCGCATGGCTCATTCACGTCCTGGTTGAAGTTCGTTCGCTACGCTCACTCACCTTTAGGTTGGAGCTCGTTCGCTGCGCTCACTTGCCTTCAGGTTAGCTCGTTCGCTACGCTAACTCGCCTCCAAGTTGAAGTTCGTTCGCTACGCTCACTCACCGTTTGGTTGGAAATTAGCTGTTGTCATAAATTTAAAAAAATAATAGTGCTGCACCCTGTTGGTAATCCTTGTAACTTTTATGCTATTTAACATCATAGAACAGAACCAACTTGTTTAATTGAAACAGCTGTTAAGATTCATTAATTCCTTTTAAATATGAAAAATCATAAGATTAACATGGGGAACTACAGAGCCACTGGGGCGGAGCCCAAAAGGGTTTTTGAGATAAGAATATGCTTTAATGTTAATCGGGAATGTGAGCTATCATCATGTCAAATTTCAGCCCAATCCGTCCAGTAGTTTATGCGTGATTGAGCAACACACACACACACAAACATACACACAAACATACACACAAACTCACAAACTTTCAGATTTATAATATTAGTAAGATAAGATATATAAAAATTTGAACGAATGGTGTTTTTTTCCTCAGGGGACATCAAAATGAAATAGTAAATCGGTCCCGGGCCTAGGTCTTACCATGAGACCTACGGTAATAGCTACTTATTCCCTACAGGGAAATTTGCTAGAAGGGAACTTCATTAAAAAGGGAGATCAATAATTTTGATCCACCCTACTAATTCTTCTACCTGTGGTCTCTAAGGTAGTAGAACAGTAGAAGACGTAGCTGAAAGCCTACTTTGAGCACTAAGCACTGGATTTACTACTAGGCCACGCGGTCTAGTGCCGCAAGCAAAAAGGACCGAAGTAGTAAAACAATTTTTTACAACAAAAATGTAAATTTGATTTTTTCAAATTAATAATTTTGACCCGATTGCAGCTGATTATGATACTGTCCAAGTTATTGTTGAAATGCTCACGATTTCTCCCTGATCGCAAGTGACGAAGAGAACTATTAAAGTATAGGATCGTTTACAGTTTTTATTTTATTAATGTTTTTAATTTGATGAATAGTTTCATTTTTTTTTATGAATAGTAGTATATGGAGAAAGTATTGTTTTCGTCAGGGACTACACCTGTGGTCCAATTTCGATGAGAATTTGGTGTGTAGGTTCTAATCCATGGTATCTCCAGGCGTTTTTTCATTTTTTGAAATTTTGATTTTCAATGTTGATTTTCCCATAAAATAACGGAAAAATCGGATTTTCTCAAAAATGGCCCGAACGATTTTGATAAAATTTTAGTATGTTGTAGCCCTTAAAATTCTGAACAAAATAGCACAACTGCTATTTCTGTAAAAATTACAGCTCAAAAGTTATTGTAAGTTATGTTATTTTCCCATAAAACCCCCAAAATAGTGAAAAATAGGATTTTAGAAAAAAACCAGGATCGATTTAACTAAGTATATTTTGGTCCTAAAAATCTTGAAGGTTTTTAAAATTTTTTTGAAATTTTTATTTTTAATGTTGATTTTCCCATAAAAAACCATAAAATAACAGGAAAATCGGATTTTCTTAAAAATGGCCTGAACGATTTTCTTAAAAATTTAGAATGTTATAGGCCTTTAAATTTTGAACAAAATGGTACAAATCCCATTTCCGTAAAAATTACGGTTCAAAAGTTATTGTAACTTAAGTTATTTTCCCATAAAATAGGCTAACAAAAAAAATCGGATTTTTGGAGAAAAGTTGGTTTTGACCAAAATTAATTAAAAAAAATAGTACAACACCCCATTGCTGTAACAATTAAGTTACACGTTTAAAAAGCTATTGCAACTTTTGTGATTTTTAACTATGTATAAAGAATCATATTTAAACCGCTTACCCATGATAAAGGTTATTGACGAGCTTATGGGAGAAAGTATGAGTCAGAATGCTTATACCGTTTATTTTTCTATTGTTTAGGTGCAGTCAGTTGCAGTGGTAGAGCATTATGGTTGTTATACTATAGCAGTATAGCATACCGTAAAAAGTAAAGACAAAAGAACCCAATTTTATCAAACTGTGTCCTCTCCCATTGCAAACGCAAAGCCTGAGTATAGCTGCAATAAGAATTTTGGGTACTTTCCTGTTATCTGGTACCTGCGAAAAAATCCTTTAACCACAAGTACAACTTCGTCGATCCAGAGTCCGGAGCACATACTACCGTTTAGGTTAGGTTTGGTTAGGTTAGGTTCGTTTACTTACAATACTCATGTTATTGATAAACTAACATAACCTAACCTAACCAAAGTACAACTTCGTCGATCCAGAGTCCGGAGCACATACTCAGACCGTCGAACGCATGTGGGGGTCTTATTTGGCAGAGTTTATGTGGCGCAAGATGGTCGTTGATTGCGATGTTTTCGAAGCACTGTTAGAAGTAATTCGTTACTTCTGGCCACCCGAAACTCAGATGTAATCATTGTTTGTTGTTTTTGTTTGATTAATAAACGCAGGTACCAGTTAACAGGAAAGAATTTTTCCGCAGGTACCAGATAACAGGAAAGTACCGAATTTTGTACTTATGCCAACCCCGTACGAAGGATGGGTACTCTGCTAGTAATTCAATATTGGGGAAAATAGATAAATAGAGTATCCATTTTTGTACATATGATTATGATAAGGAATACTTCCCTTATGTCTCTATGAAACAGCTGAGCTGAGTTGTCAGCTGGGTTTCGTTTTGGATCGTCTGCGACTGCTTTCTTCTTCTTCTTAATCTTCAATCAGAATCAGGCTAATCTAATTTAGTTTTCTGCTGCACCTTTAGAGAGAAGTTGTCTTTAACTTTTAAGTCGACAAAATTTTTGTTATAATATTCATTGTATGCCTGATCAATGCTTCACACTTTTTATCTAAAACAATTTAAATGA